ACTTACGTTACATAACATAATGGGTTTCACATCTACACCAAGTCAGAGTTTAATTAAGGAATAAAGCTTTATGGTCAGTTTTAAGGAAATTGTAAATGTTAATAATAAATAACATCACTTACATTATGAGAGAACTTGCTGTGAATCATCTACTGTTATCAGCATTTCCAGTTCATTTAAAATTATGATGTTTTAATAGCTTATCCAACTATTTTTATTGTATGAAGCATAACATGCCTCAATGGTAAAAAATGGAGACATAAGATTTAACATATATTAATGCAATTTGAGGTTATAGTAATTTTGAAATTAAAACACAAAGAGGAAAAACCAAATAATTTTTATAAAAATTTCTCAACATTGAATTTGTAGATTGCTTTGGTAAGTATGGTCATTTTCACAATATTGATTCTACCCATCCGTGAGCATGGGATGTGTTTCCATTTGTTTGAGTCATCTGTAATTTCTATCAGTAGTGTTTTGTAGTTTTTCTTGTAAAGGTCTTTCACCTCTTTGGTTAGGTATATTTCTTAGTATTTTATTTTATTTTTTGCAGCTATGGTAAAAGGGGTCAAGTTCTTGATTTGATTCTCAGCTTGGTCACTATTGGGGTATAGCAGAACTACTGATGTGTGTACATTAATTTCGTATACTGAAACTTTGCTGAATTCATTAATCAGTTCTAGGAGCTTTTTGGAGGAGTCCTTAGGGTTTGCTAGGTGTGCAATCATATCGGTAAACAGTGACAATTTGACTTTCTCTTTACCAATTTGGATGCCCTTTATTTCTTTCTCTTGTCTGATTGCTCTGGCTGGGACTTCCAGTACTATGTTGAAGAGGAGTGGTGAGAGTGGGCATCCTTGTCTTGTTCCAGTTCTCAGAGGGAATGCTTTCAACGTTTCCCCATTCACTGTTATGTTGACTGAGGGTTTGTCATAGATGGCTTTTATTATATTGAGGTATGTCCCTTCTATGTCAATTTTGTTGAGGGTTTTAATCATAAATGGATGCAAATTTTGTCCAATGTGTTTTCTGCCTCTATTAGGATGATTATGTGATTTTTGGTTTTGATTCTGTTTATGTGGTGTATCACATTTTTTATTGACTTGTGTATCACTGCATTCCTGGTATGAAACCCACTTGATCGTGGTGAATTTTCTTTCTGATATACTATTGGATTTGGTTAGGTAGTATTTTGTTAAGGATTTTAGCATCTATGTTTATCAGGGATATTGTTTTTTGTTGTCGTCGTTATGTCCTTTCATGGTTTTGGTATTAGCGTGCTACTGGCTTCATATAATTATTTATGGAAGATTCTCTCTTTCTCTCTCTCTCTCTCTTTCAGTGTGAGTCTCATTCTGTCAGCCAGGCTGGAGTTCAGTGGCACGATCTCCGCTCACTGCAAACTCCGCCTTCCAGGTTCAAGCAATTCTCCTGCCTTAGCCTCCCAAGTAGCTAGGAATTTAGGTGCCCACCACCACACCAAACTAGTTTTTGTATTTTTGGTAGAGATGGGATTTTACCATTTCGACCAGGTTGGTCTTGAACTCCTGACCTCAAGTGATCCACCTGCCTTGGCTTCCAAAAGTACTAGGATTACAGGTGTGAGCCACTGTGACCCGCTCCCTCTTTCTCTGTCTTTTGGAATAGTGTCAACAGGATTGATACCAATTCTTCTTTAATATCTGTTAGAATTCAGCTGTGAATCCCACTGATCCTGGACTCTTTTTGTTGGTAACTTTTTATTACAGTTTCAATCTCAGTGCTTGTTATTGGTCTGTTCAGGGTTTCTAATTTTTCCTGAATTAAAATAGGAGGGTTGTACCTTTTTGGGAATTGATCTATGTCCTCTAGGTTTTATAGTCTATGCACATAAAGTGTTCATAAAAGCCTTAAATGATCTTTTGTATTTTTGTGGTGTCGAGTGTATTATCTCCCATTTCATTTCTAATTGTGCTTATTTGGAGCTTCGCTATTCTTTTCTTGGTTAATCTTGCTAATGGTCTTTTAATTTAATTTATCTTTTCAAAGAACCAGCTTTGTGTTTCATTTATCTTTTGTATTTTTGTTTCTTTGTTTCAATTTCATTTACTTCTGCTCTGATCTTTGTTATTTTCTTTCTTCTGCTGGGTTTGGGTTTGGTTTTTCTTGTTTCTCTAGTTCCTTGAGGTGTAACCTTAGATTGTCTATTTGTGTTCAACAAAGCATATGAAAACACGAAGTAGGGAAAGGACACCCTATTCAACAAATGGTGTGGGGATAATTGGGAAGCCATGTGTAGGATAATGAAACTAGATCCTCATCTCCTACCTTATACAAAAATCAACTCAAGATGTATCAAGGACTTAAATCTAAGACCCAAAATTATGAAAATTCTAGAAGATAATATCGGAAAAACCCTTCCAGACATTGACTTAAGCAAGGATTTCATGACTAAGAGCCCAAAAGTAAATGCAATAAAAACAAAGATAAACAGCTAGGACTTAAACTGAAGAGCTTTTGCATGACAAAAAAGCACTCTGGAAGGTAAACAGACAACCCACAGAGTGGGAGAAAATCTTCACAATCTATACATCCAACAAAAGACCATTATCTAGAATCTACAAGGAACTCAAACAAAGTAGCAAGAAAAAAAAATAAAATCCTATCAAAAAGTGGGCTAAGGACATAAGTTGACAATTCTCAAAAAAAAAAAAAAAAAAAAAAGATATACAAATGACCAACAAACATACGAAAAAATACTCAACATCACTCATGATCATGGAAATGCAAATAAAAACCACAATGCAATACCACCTTACTACCTCAAAAATGGTCATAATAAAAAAATAAAAAAGCAGTAGGCATCGGAGTAGACGCAATGAAAATGGAACACTTCTACACCACTGGTAGGAATGTAAACTAGTACAACCATTATGGAAAACAGCAGGGAGATTCCTTAAATAATTAAAAGTAGAACTACTATTTGACCTAGCAATCCCACTACTGGGTACCTACCCAGAGGAAAAGAAGTCATTATACACAAAAGACACTTCACTTTCATGTTTATAGCAGCACAATGCACAATTACAAAAATATAGAACCAGCCCAAATGCCCATCAGTCAATAAGCTGTGGTATTATATGTACAGGGGACTACTACTCAGCCATAAAGAGGAATGAATGAATGGCATTCACAGCAACCTGGATAGGATTAGAGACTATTATTCTAAGAAGTAAAAGAAACTTAGGAATGGAAAACCAAACACTGCATGTTCTCACTCATAAGTGGGAGCAAGCTGTGAGGATGCAAAAGAATAAGAATGATACATTGGGCTTTGGGCACTCAGGGGGAAATGTGAGAAGTGGGTGAAAAAGAAAAGGCTACAAATTGGGTTCAGTATATACTGCTAAGGTGATGGATGCATAAAAAATCTCACACATCACCACTAAAGAACTTACTCATGTAACCATATATCACCTGTTTCCCAAAAACATATGGAAAAAAAAATCTCAACATTTTATCTACAGTAGGATTGAGTCAATGAACATTATAATGATAATTTTACAGTACATATATTTTATATTATGTAACATAATTTAATTATTAATATTATTTTTATTTGCATATAATTTATTCAGAAGTATTTCTGTTAGGTTAGTCATTTAAAAAGTATAAAAGCAATCTGAGAAAAACCTAAAGAAATAATAATGAACGATTATTGTCCTATAGAAAATCTTATTTTATAAAAATCAGTTTCCATCCCTCTGATAATAAATTAGTTATTCTGAAAATTGTACACTTAAGACATAATCAATGCTTATTCAAATTGTTTTAGTCTTCTTATCGTTATTTCTAAGTTGTATAAGACAGTAAAAAACCTATTTGCTTTTTGAAAGAATTAATTCTAGAACCTGAATTTATGCATTATTAAAGAATATCATCTTCACTTTTTTAGAACTGATTTCTAATTTCATTACATTATGAAATAGTATGGTACAATATATAGTGTTCTTAGGGTTAATTTTTTTTCTGATAACTCATTGAAATACAACTAAAATAACCAACATAATTCTAAATAAAACTTTTAATTTGATAGCTATTGTCTACATGAACCCACACAAATGTGAATTTTCTTTCCATAGGTTTTTGCAAATATACTAATATTTTTACTGAAGCATATATACTGAACCATTTGTATCCTGCATTTTTAGAGAAAGGTACAGAAAATCCCAGTGATACAGTCAATCTCTACTGCAAAGAACAGGTAAAGCATAGTCTAAGAGTAGCTTGGTGTATCCATCTATTCTCGCTCTGGTATAAAAAAAATACCTGAGACTGTGTAATTTATAAAGAAAAGAGGTTTAATTGGCTTCTAGTTCGTCAAGCTGTACAGGAAGCACAGCGGCTTTTGCTTCTAGGGAGGCCTCAGGAAACTTACAATCATGGCGGAAGGCAAAGGGGAAAAAGACACATCTTATGTGGCAGGAGCAGGTCCAAGAGAGAGCGGGGAGGTGCCACCCATGTAAGCAACCAAGTCCCATGAGAACTCTATTACCAGAACAGCACCAAAGGGGAAAATTCACTGCCATGATCTCATCACCTTTCACCAGGTACCACTTCCAACATTGGTGATTACAATTCAACATGAGATTTGGGTGGGGACACAGATCCAAACTATATCACTTGGATATGAGTAGAGTTCTTTGGTTACTGGTAACTGGAGGTAGACCTGAGCATCCCAAGAGAAAAGCTGACTGTTGAAATGGGACAAATTTGACTGGAAATAATATATATCTTGTGGATATAACAATGAATTAAACATCCCTAAAAAACTATATTGAAGAAAATGATTCGAAGATTTCTATAACATTTTAATTACACAACAATAGTTATTTGAATGCTCACTGCCAATTATTTTAAGGTACATTGTATCTTTTGTTTTGAAAAAATCATGTGTTTATTTTTTTTAATGCTTCTTTTCTTTCCTTCTTTCTCTTACTTTCTTTTTTCTTTTTCAGATGACACGAGAACAATACATACTAGCAACCCAACAGAATAACCTGCCAAGGACTGAGAATGCACAACTTTATCCAGTGGGAATTTATGGATGGCGAAAGAGGTGCTTATACTTCTTTGTCCTTCTGCTGTTGGTTACCATGATAGTTAACTTAGCCATGACAATATGGATATTGAAAGTTATGAATTTCACTGTGGTAAGTACCACTATGATTTTACATCTTATTGCTCTTGGTTCAAAGACAATCTAGCTCTGTTACTTTAATTTTTTAATCAAAGGTTATTCATATCAATATTTACAAGTGTGTGTTTTTAAATCCCAAAGACAATAATATTTTATTTTAAGACTACATTCAGTAGGTTTAGTCTTGACACACATATGCTATTACTACCTGCCATTTAAGTATGGGAAATTTAGATCACAAGACAGCATAGCACATTGATTCATTAGAATGTTTGAAGAACACTTAATCAGTAAGTATGAATATTACTTACTGTGCCTTAAAATTTAAGAAATGAATCTGTTTTTAGAAGTGATATTTCACATTAAAATTAATATTAATATTATAAATCATGTGCCTTTGAATTACTTCATTTAACATATATACCTCTATATCTCTGTATATCTGCTTTCTATGTAACATACTGCATGACTGAATCTAAAAGCCTGGAATTTCTCCTGAACTACATTGACTAATGCCTATAATTGCCATCAGATGGTGACCCTATTCTTTCATAGCACATCCCTCATAAATGGAAGACCAACCAGAAATTAAATCACTCTTTTATAAAAATAACTAATTACAAAATGATTGTATAATGTATTAATGAAGTTTGCTGCAGTTTACTGAATGTTTATAATAAATTTATGAGCATGAGTTATCTGGGAAAATTCAGTGGCTTCAGCAAAGTCCAGTTTGGCTCATTTTATATTTTTTGACTGATATCTTCAGTTTTTTTATTCTGCTTTTAGACCATTCTGCCTTTGCTTGGAGACCTCAGATATCTTCACATATAAGCAACTATCTTTCACTTGCTGACCAGATTGCTATTATTCTTTAGAACTCTGCATCCTCAGGAGTGAGTCTAAAGCTGGCTGTTTAACTTCACTTATATTCCTATACTGGGCTGTTTATGGTTTGTTTGTTTGCTTTTTAAACCCCACTCGGTATTAATTTAGCAAGAATCGTCTCTTTCTGACTTCACTGACACCTAATTCTAATTCGAAAACAGAATCTCCAAAGAGAAAATGACGCTAGCTTCAGTCCGTGTTGTAAGGCGTCACAATTATGTGTGTAAGGAGCCTGGGTGGGCAGGTGGCCTAACCTTCCGGAGAAGAAATACTGTCACTGTGCACATCAAGATAAACCAGCAATGTGCTCGTGGAGGGAAATGAGCTTGGTTCCATTTTTTTTCCAATAAATTATAATTTTGAAGAGTATTCATCAAATAAGAAACTAAAGGCAAAGACAAGTTGGGCAGGAGTCAATGTTTTTGCAGAGTCAGAAAATAGTAACTGTTGCCTAGACATGGATATGTGTCCCAGGCCAGGAATCAAGGCATGAGGCCACTTGTGGGTGGCTAGAGGTTGAATTGAAGGCTAGTAGGTACATTCTCACTTATGAGATTCTCTGGGAATGCATCTGAATCACTTATTTGTCTAAAAGTTGGCTCACTTTGCCCTCTCATTTGGGAATATTTTGACACAAATATCAACAACTCTAGCTATCATGTTTATGTTCTCAGCTCTGCTCCTACCTTCTCTGACTACTGTCTGGGTGTCCTTCAGGGGTCATTGATCATATGGTAGGAGCAATGTTTATGCTCCTGCACCTTCTTTTGTGCTACTTTAAATAGCAACCAGACTATCAGTTGCTGAAAACATTTTCAGCCTCATTTTTTAACTAAAAATTAATATTATAAAAGAGGTAAAGCATGTTCTTCAAATTTTGAAATTTCAGTAATATGATTTTCTCTATCAAAAGGCATCTTTCAAAAGCTCATGAATGATGGGACCAGGTCTCTCACTTCAGGGAGCATTGATTCTATCCAATGACTCAACCCCAGGAATTTTCAGGTTCAAACCTTGTAAGCTTTTCAGGCATATTTAAATTAATTAGAAAAATATACTTAAATGTGTAATTACATGGCTACATGCATCAGACTCCCAATACTTTGCCCCATGCTGACACCAAGGCTGGATAAGCCATCCCTGGGAAATCATTGACACAGTCGCCTGTGTCCTCAGGATCCTCAAGGGCCCCAGGGTTCCTGTCATCCATGGAGCTATTTAATTTGAACCTCAGCTGGCCAGAATGTAAAATATAATGCAACATGGTCCTGGAGATAATTAAAAGGGGTTGTTTCCATAGGAGTGTTGGTATTTATTTATTTTTACATTTTCCTTTGAGGCATGTCTTTTAAAAAATTATGTTTTGACCTTTTTATAATTAGAAGGAAAACTGTCCTTCCTTCAGCCACAAAAACTATTTGCATGTAGCTGAAGTAAAATGCACAGATAAAGTTTCCAGAAATGTATCACACTGTAAGGTAACACACTCTTTGTAAGATAACACACTTTCTAGCTCAATGTAGTCATTCGTAGTTGTTCAGAAATAATTCAGAAATCCTTATGTAGTTACAGACTTTAGTAATCCTGAATACTGGAGATTATGTTGTATATCCTTGAAGGGTGTTAAATAATTTGTAATCCTCTTTCATCAGAGCGGTAAAATAAAACCAATTTTATGTTTTTACTAGTGCATTGTGTTCGTTTTCATATCTACAGAGAATACCAAAGACTAGTTGCCATACTATAGTAAGAAGTAGAAAATAATGTGTCAGTTGTTTGGGGAGTACTATTGATCCGCGCAAAATGTATTTCACTTTCATTATAACTATTGCTATCCAACACATGGAAATCTGTGGCTGTTAACATCTTTTATTTGAGCAAACTGGGCATGTTATTTTTATCAAAATATTGATAAAATATTTTTAGCATAGCAATATTTTTAGCATAGCAAGGATAGCTGCCAACATGTTTTATGCTGTTTGTTGAAGTCCATCATTGTGACTGATATTGTGCATGATGTGTATGATTGATATGCCCTTGTGTTTTGGAAATAATTTGTGTTTTTCATTTTGTAGAAAATAAAATTATTCTGCTTTTTTAGATACTCAGTTGTAGAAAACAAAAAAAAAAAAAAAGGAAATGACTTTATACTACAGGATGAAAGACTTATGATAGAAGTAAATAATCTCCTGGCTATGAGAGCAGGTATATATATACATATACACGCACACACACACACACACACACACAAAATTTCATATATATATATATGTTGAAGAGGGAAATTTTTGAAATTTTGAAGTTAGTTCAAGAGGGAAATTCATATATATATATATGTATATATATGTTGAAGAGGCAAATTTTAAAACTTCAATTTGTTGAGGTCGGTACAACCCATTTCCATGTTATCAGTTGCTATTTGGTTGATTACTATAACATCTTTGTGGTTTAGCTAATAGACTAGCCTAGCAGATCTATCAAATCCAGGCATTCTACTGAGGCAGTATTATTTTCTAGGTTCAACACTTATTCTAAGTAAATTAATTCTATATTTGAGAATTGAAGGTCGTTACAATAATAAAGTACTGATTTTAAGAACAAAAGTACCAACTAAGGGTTGGCGACCTCTAGCTGTTATAATTCTGTTAGATATGCCAACTAGCCAGCAAAAAAAAAAAAAAAAAAAGAGAATGAAAATATAAGTAATATTTATTAAGCAAATGGGGAGAGCAAATTCATGAATGCCGTGACTTAGAGAGAAGTCAAGAATACCTAGACCTGGGTAATAATTGAAGCAATTGATTAATTGAACAAACTGGGAAAATAAATATTGCATGATCAGTGGGATAACAGTTGGCTGAAAGAAAATCCCAAGAAAAGAATTGAATATCATCATCATTTTGGATTGAAAAGGAATTGGGAAATTTTAGAACAACTATCTATATATTACAAGAGGTCATTTTACAGTATTTTCTCCATTTGGTCACTTGGCATCTGCTTAAACTCTCCTTTCAGTGATAAGCAAATCATCTCATTAAATCACTGTATAGTTTTATTATTTTCAAATATCTTTTAAATTTTATTATTTTTTAATTGGTGAGGGTACATAGTAGGGGTATATATTTATAGGGTACATAAGATATTTTGATAAAGTCATATGATGTGTAATAATCCCATCAGGGTAAATGGAGTATCTGTTTTCTCAAGCGTGTATCTTCTGTGTTACAAACAATCCAGTTATACTCCTTTCATTATTTGAAAATGTACAGTAAATTATTGTTGACTCTAGTCACCCTTTGTGCTATCAAATACTAGATTTTATTTGTTCTAACTAGATTTTTGTGCCAACTTACTATCTACACTTTCCCCATCTCCACTACCGTTCCCAGCCTCTGCTGACCATGATTCTGCTCTCTTAAATGATGTTCGGTTAGCAATTCCTTGAATACAACTTCAAACATGGTATTCTGATTCCATTATTTCAATTGGACAGGAATTTTTAATGTTCCAAGACCACCATATATTCTCATATACATCATATGCACACATACACGCACATAGATCTTTGATAACATTTTTAAAAGATCTAAAAATCAGAATATGTAAGGGAGATCTGTATGTGACCACTTTGCTTTCTTTGGTTGTCACTTTTCTTCATTTCAAATATCATGTATATTACATACCCATAATTATATGTTTTTAATAATATTAATGCTTTCAAGATAGCTTTCCCTTTATAGCTACAGACCAGAGTCATTCTTATTTATTTTTTCTATCACATTTTGTTTATATAAATAATTAACTTATATAAAATTTATATTTATGCATTTAACATGAATATAAATAAAAGCAGGAAAAGTGTTCAGGATTGCAGTTATATACATAGAGTTACAAGATATTGGTAAAGTTTGCTTTTTCTTTTGTAGGATGAAAACATTTGTTTCTGTTTAGTGTACCTTTCTAAAGTTGAGAGTTACCATATTTACTTTTCTCCCTTCTGTCTTCATGCTAACATTTTTAAAGAAACTATACATTTTTTGAGTCTTAATTCCTGTGTTCTTTCAAATACCTTGTTAAATAAAGTATCACCTATCTACATTATTCTTTTCACCAATTCAATTTTTT